TTCCTGACCCGAGCTGAGCTGCCGCTGAGCTGCCAACAGGTGGCAGGATGGCTCAGCTAAAAAAAAAATATATATATATATATACTTTCACAAAGACTCAACTTTTACCAGCTATGTCTTTCATATGGAAAAGTTACATGAAAAGGTAATACAGAAAGACAATAAGGAAAACAGAAATGATAATACCTAAGACAAAAGAAACAGTAGTAGCTGACTATGTTCTAGAATGAGTAAAGAAAGAAAGAAAAGTGGAGAATCCCTGAACTTTGATTCCTGTGATAGCCTTTTTCAAATAGCAAAAGTTTGGAGACAAAGCATTGGAGTTCCTCTTTGGAGAAACGTCTACTCAGGTATTCTGCCCATGTTTTTTTGGTGTTAAGTTGTATGGGTTCCTTATATTTTTTGGATATTAACCCCTTATTGGATGTAACATTGATGATTCTCCCACTCAGTAGGTTGCCTATTCGTTTTGTTGATGGGTATTTATCCAAAGAAATCCAAAACACTAATTTGAAAAGATATATACACCTCTATATTCATTGAAGTGTTATTTACAATAGCCAAGATATGGAAGCAACCTAAGTGTTCCTCAAGAAACAATTAGATAAAGAAGATATGGTACATATATACTATGAAATATTACTCAAACAAAACAGAATGAAATCTTCACCATTTGCAACAACATGGATGGACCTAGAAGGTATTATGCTAAGTGAAAAACGTCACACATAGAAAGACAAATACCATATGATTTCACTTAGATGTGGAACCTAAAAAAACGAAATAAATGAACAGACAAAGCAGAAACAGACTCACAGACACAGAGAACAAACTGATGATTGCCAGATGTGAGGGGATTGGGGAACTGGGTGAAAAAAGTGAAGGGATTAAGAAGTACACATTGGGCCGGCTGAGTGGCACATTGGTTAAGAGCTGGATTGGGATGCCAGAGGGCCCCGGTTCGGGTCCCACATATGAGGGCCAGTGACACTGCCCTCCACAGCTAAGATGCTGAACAACAGCTCTACCAGGAGCTGAGCTGCCATGAGTCGCCAGCGATGGTGTAGGCTGCAGCCCCTGCTGCAGTGGGTTGCCATGGACTACCGCGTATAGCCAGCAGCCAGCATTGGCGGCCAGCAGGCGCCGTGAGCCGCTGTCCAGAAGCCGGCGACTGATCTGCCTCGTCGGGAAGAGTGCAGTGATGGTGCCAACTTGGGCCAGTGAAGCAACGTCCTCCACAACTAGACTGAAGAACAAAAGGATAGCAACTTGTCTGTTCCCATCCCCCAATTCCCCAATTAAAAATATCTTAAAAAAAAAAGAAGTACACATTGGGTAGGCTGGCCAGGTGGCTCAGTTGGTTAGAGCGCGAGCTCTGAGCAACAGGTTCGCCGGTTCGATTCCCACATGGGCCAGTGAGCTGCGCCTGAATTGAGCTGCCACTGAGCTGCCAACAGGCGGCCAGATGGTACAGCTGGTGAGAGAGCATGCTTTTAACAATAAGGCTGCCAGAACAAGGCTGCCTGTTCGACTCCCGTATGGGAAGGTGGGTTTGCGCTCCCCCTCCAACTAAGCTTGTACATGACACCTTGAACTGAGAGTCCGCAAGCTGCCAATGGGCAGCCAGATGGCTCAGTCCATTAGAACATGTGCTCTTAACAAGAAGGTTGCCAGTTCGATTCCTGCAGGAGATGGTAGGCTGAGCCCCCCACCCCCACCCCCAGCAACTACATTGAAAGCGGCGACAGGACTTGGAGCTGAGTTGCGCCCTCCACCCAACTAAGACTGAAGTACAACAACTTGACTTAGAGCTGATGGGTCCTGGAAAAACACAATGTTCCCTTCCCCAATTCCCCAATAAATCTTTAAAAAAAAAAAAAAAAAGAAGTACACACTGGCAGTTACAAAACAGTCATGGGATATAAAGAACAGCACAGGGAATACAGTCAATAATATTGTAATAACTAACTATGTATGGTGCCAGGTGGGTACCAGACTTATCTGGGGGATCACTTTGTAACTTATCTAAATGGCTAATCACTATGCTGTACACCTGAAACTAACATAATATTGATTGTCAACTGTAATTAAAAGATTAGCAAGATTATTTTAATAGTAAACATAAAATAATCTCCCATTAATCCTCAATGACTGAGTTGAGTTTATCAAACACTAGGTTAAAGCAGTTAATATGGCAGAAGGCAATGATGACATTTGGTTTGCACAATTGTTTTTGGTTTAGACATAGGTAAGATGATCCCTTTGAATGTTTGTGGTTTCAATTAATTAGCTTCATATTTGGTTATATCTATAACACACTGCTTTTACCATACTAAAGGAAAGAAGGAAAAGATGTGATCTTACGATAAAGAAAATGTTGATTCTATGTATTTGGATCAGAGAGGAAGAGAGAAGCTGCATGACAGTGGGAATAAAACTACTTTATACTCCACTGGTAAAAAGCAGGGTAGAAATAAATATTAGAGAATATAATCTCATTTTAATTCAAGCTGCTTCTGAATCATAACCATTAAAATAAGCCATGTTTCCATAAACATTATTTTCTTCATCACCACCATCATCATCGTAGCTCTGAACACACAAAAATTAAAGAACTGCAGCCTAGAATAATTTCCATGAGATAGGGAGTTTTTAATGGATTGCCCTCAACTTTGAGTTCCTTCTTCCTCTGTGGGTCTTATAACATTGACTTATTTACCTTTAGGTGTGATGCACTGTTTTCTTTTTGAGTTTGGCATGTCTCACTTAGAAATTCCTTCCAAACCTGCCATCTTTTGGACCTGTCACTAGCTCTTTCCATGTACCTGCCTGTCACTGTGTAAGTTATAGTCCAGACTCTGTCATTATTAGCCAGGGAAATTGGGACAAGCCACCGGCCCTCATCACACTCGCATTTCCTGAACTCATAATATGACAAGATTCAGCTTTTCCCTAAGAGCCCCTTCAAGCTTATTTTTCTTTCCACGTTAACAGTTTATCATTTCACCACTTTATATAGCTGAGGAAGGGAAAAGATTTTCACAGAAACTAAAATGGAAAATTTTTTAAAACATTGTTTTATCTATACATGTATTTTAAATCATTTTCCTCTTATTCTTAAGGAATGCAGTAACTTCAACAAACACAGTAATATCAAACTCTGAATCAGAGGAATTGGCAAAAGTTCAGATTATGAGGTAAATGGCTGAATAACGGATGAAAAATTAGACAAATTTGGGCTTGCCGAGTGGCGCGTTGGTTAGGAGTTGGCTTGGGACGCCAGCTCTGAGCAGCAGGGCCCGTTTGGATCCCACATGAGGGCCAGTGACACTGCGCCCTCTACAGCTAAGATGCTGAACAACAGCCCAACCTGGAGCTGGGCTGCCGTGGTTGCCGGCGACGGCATAGGCTGCAGTGGGGCGGGCCGGCAGTTGGTGTGAGCTTTCGTGAGCTGCCATGAGCAACCGTCCAATGGCCGGCAAGTGACTGCCTCACCCGGGAAGAGCGTAATGATAATACCAACATGGGCCAGTGAAGCGACGTCCTCCACAACTAGACTGAAGAACAAAAGGACAGCAACTTGTCTGTTCCCCTTCCCCGATTCCCCAACTCTGTTCCCTCCCCCAACCCCCCTATAAAATCTTTAAAAAGAATTTTTACATTCATCTTGTCACATGATCTGGTTAATTTCCAAAATTTCTGGTTTGGGGAGTGAAAAGATGTTCTTTGAGGTGCTGCTACACTGTAGAGGCAGAAAGAACAATTCCTCATTCTGTTCTATAGGCACAGAGGTGCACAACTCCCTTCATAACGCAGCATTTGGATGGCAAGATAAAGAGACTCCAGATATAATTTAGGGCCAAGACAGGGGCAAAATGCTGGAGCACAGTGACTTGGCTCTTGCTTTAAATCCATTTTCCCCAGACAAAGCACCTCCTTGTTATTTGATTACGAAAACCATGATCTGCACAATTCTGAGAATGATACAGGTTTCGAATTGAAAAGGTATACTATACACTTGTAAACAAATTTACTTCTATACATTCTTAGTTTAATTGCCACTACAAAAGAAAGATGAATGTGATGATTTGGTTATTTTATATGCCACAGTTAACGGAATAGATGATGCAAAGCAAATCATTTCTAGGTCAAAATGTCCTTCATTAATAAATGAATGTATTCTTGTACTATTTGTATTCAGAAGGCCAAAACTTTAAAAAAGACATTTAAATTGTCCTCTCCAACACTTATTTCTTGTCATATTGATAACAGCCATTCTAATAGGTGTTTACATGTCTTGGGTACCCTATATAATGCTACAATGAACATAAGGGTACATATATCTTTACGAATAAATGTTTCCAAATTTTTCGGGTAGATACGCAGAAGAGGGATTGCTGGGTCATACTGTAACTATTCTTAATTTTTTTGAGGAACCTCCATACTGTTTTCCACAGTGACTGTACCAGTTTACATTCCCCGCAGCAGTGTATGAGTAAAGTGTGTTTCCCTGAGTTCTGTGAGCCATTCTAGGAAATTATTGAACTTCAGGAGGGGGTCATGTGAACCCTTGATCTACAGCCAGTCAGAAGTACCCAGACTTGCAGCTGACATCTGAAGTGGGAGGCAGTCTTGTGGGACTGAGCCCTTAGCCTGTGGGGTTTGCACTAACTCCACTGTCAGAGTTGATTTAAGTGGCAGGACACCCACTTGATGCACGCAGGGAAGTGGGAAATCCCTTGGTGTGGAAGACCCACACATTTGGTATCAGAAGTGTTATGAGGAAAGGAACAGTCTTCCTTCAGAGAGGTGCAATACTATAGTCACAGAGCTAGGATTTGAAGCCAAGCAATCCAGTTGTAAAACCTATACTCTTCTAAATAATAACAAAATATTTGAGTAAAATGAAAACCATCTCATCGTTTTAGATTCATAACATACATGTATGCTTACTAATAAAGAGTTGGAGGAAAAACAAAAATTGCCACATGAATTCCTACTTGTGTCTGCTTCAGCGCCCGTTCCACTCGGCGTGTGCTTCCTCGCTCAAGTTTTGTCCGGAGGATCAAGGCTGATGTCTGAATGGCCCAGAACTTTGGTTGTGAAAGCAAACACTGATGGAAGAGAAAATAAAATTAAATAAAAGCCACATAAAGAAGGGAGAAGCTGGATGGTCACACATAAATAGAACAAAACTAATTCTTCCAAAAATATCAGGATACAGCTGAAGGTAGATTTGAAAATCTCAGTGAAAAATAATAAAACGTGCTTTCAAAGATTCCTATGAAAACTATGGTCACTTGAGTAGAGTAATTACTTAACCTAGTTGACTGATTCTACTGAATAAGTTTTTAAAGAATGAATCAGAACCTTTCCAGATAATCAAAACAGTAAGCAGAATATATCACACCATAGACAAATACTAAATCTTTTTATCTCCCAGATTACAATATATGTGAGAACAGAAACCACAGAAAAATAAAGGCCATTTTTCTCAAATTTGAAGTAAATTTTTTAAAATCACCCAAATTCACAAATAAAAACAATTAAAAATCTGATACCTATTCACTTAAAAAATCCTAATTCACAGATGCAAATGCAATTTAAACTTTAACCCTCCGTCGGGTGCAACTGATCTCACGGATTATTTTGAATTTCTGTTGATTTTTATACTGAATTTATGTCATAAATATATATTGTTTTTACTTTGTGGCAAATTAAAATTTCATTCTGAAAAAATAATAAGTGTGCTTACATGTTGTTTTCATTCATTTTCAATTTAAATAAATAAATGTCATACACACATCTAGTAGATGCATTTGTGCCCGAACTCATAACTTTTGCATTGTGCCCAACAGAGGGTTAAGTACATAAAATGACCCCAAAATTAAGTATTTGTTCACTTAAAAGTTAAAGCCCTAAGGTCTTTTTTTTTCTATTTATATTACAGAAAACCATTTTAAAATGCATGCAAATGCTTTCTGGCCTCGGTTAGGGTAAGGAATCTCCAATTTTAGTTAAAATGCTTTCCTAGAGGGGCATCTTAAGAAAGACTGACCATGGGCTGGCCAAGTGGCGTGTTGGTTAAGAGGGGTGCCAGCTCTGAGCAGCAGGGTCCCGGTTCGGATCCCACAGTAGGGCTAGTAACACTGCGCTCTCTACAGGTAAGATGGTGAACAACAGCTTGACCTGGAGCTGGGCTGCCGTTGGTTACCGGCAACGGCGTAGGCTGCAGTGAGGCTGGCTGGCAGCTGAAATGAGCTTTTGTGAGCTGCTATGAGCCGCACTGGGCAGCCATCCAATGGCCAGCGAGCGACTGCCTCACCTGGGAAGAGCGCAATGATAATACCAATATGGGCCAGTCCTCCACAAGTAGACTGAAGAACAAAAGGACAGCAACTTGTCTGTTCCCCTTCCCCAATTCCCCAGCACTGTTCCCCTCCCCCAATTCCCCAATCAAATCTTTAAAAAAGAAAAAAACAAAAAGACTGGCCTTGAATATGTAGATACAGAATCCTAATGCCAGAGAAAACTGCCATCAGTTCAGAGAATGTACTAGAAATCATTGAACATCTGTAACCCATGACAACAGGATGGAAGGGCACTGAGGACAGAGCTCTGTGAGACATGGGGGAAAGTCTCCGAGTCAGGGAGAGTTTGGTTAGAATCCCAGCTATGACCTTGGGACCTAACTGACCTCCCTGGGTCTCACTTTCCTCCTCTGTAAACAGCCATTCCGCCTCTCGCAGAGCTGTGAGGATTACAGGAATGTGAACAGGTAAAGCTTCACAAAGCCCCAAGTGCCCACACAAAGCACACGTGGCCCCCTCCCAGGTCTCTCCTCCTGTAATGCTTTCTCTCACCCTTAACACAAAATCACCTTCCAAAGTGGGCATGGGGATGGCACTAACCTCTGACGGGGTTCAGGACACACGATTCCCCAAATACGTTACCTAGGCATATGGAATATTTTAAACTGAAGGAGTTTGAGAAAGCAGATGCAGGAAACTTGCTCTGACCCCCGCCCTGGCCCCAGCCTTCCACCCTGAAGCAGGTCATAAAACCCTCCTGTGAGAGCTGCCCTCACTATAACCAGAGGAAAGGAGCATCCTTATCTCCGAAGACAAAGGGACACTGAGAAGAAGCCCAACAAACAGGCCTTACTAAGTACCCATCTACTACACATAGTCCCTCAAGACATTTTCACCGCTCATATTCCTCCACGACTGCCCACTCTTCATCAGATCCAGCATACTCAGGATTAACTGTTTCTTCAGGTCTTCATTTCCTTATGAAGGCTCTCATGTCGTGCAAAACTGATATGAAATAAATTTGCATGCTTTTCTCCTGTTGATCTGTCTTGGTGAGTTTAATTCTCAGACCCAGCCAAGGACCCTAAGAGAGGGGAGGAATTTCCTCCCAGTCGCACTGATCACTTTACCAATAACATTGCAGTACTGTACACAGATCAACTCAGGCTTGTCCAAGTTAAAACCCAGCTTTCAGAAGGTTTGCACACCAAAGAGAGAAGATATTTTCCTCGGAAAAACAACAAAGTCAAACTGTTTTCTACGCTGGCATGAGAACAAGAGTTTGCCTGAGACTTTTATGTGAAGGTCAAGCAAAACATTCTCACTAAACACTAAAAGTAAAATGCAATCTGGCAAGTAGATATTTGAAAAACTTTAAAGAAAGAACTGACTGGATAATGACATCACTGAAGAATGCATTTATCTTATATCCATTTGGCTGGGGATATAAAGACTTGGGAAAGTCTTTCTGAAAGGAGGTAACTGCAGATAAGCTATATTTAATATATTTTATAAAACACTGCTGCTCACAGGAATCAATCATAATAGGGGATACTGGGAAAAGAAAAAGAAAAATGAATGGGAGATATATGCTCTAGTGCTCTACTGACTTAAGAAGAAATGATATTTTTTTAAAATGCCCAGTCTAACAGCTCAGCAAGCAAACCCAATGGCGAGAACACCAACCTGGCTACCTGCCTCAGTAGCAGGCCAGCCCCACTGGTGAGGACTCAAGCTATCACCTGTCCAGATGGACTGGGGGAGTTAAGCCAGAGTCTCTATCATGTCCCCAACGAGGGTTACGGCTCTTAACTACAATTTTGGATCTGAGAATGACTACCCCACTGCCTTCTATGGCTCTCTCATCTTTCAGATCTCAACTTAAATGCCATCTCCTCAGAGAGCTTTTCTCAACCACCTACCTAAGTGACGCCATCTCTCCGTAGTGATTCTCTACCACTGCTTCTAGTTAGGAATATTACTCAGCCTTACAAAGGAAGGAGGTTCTGGTACACATGGGTGAATCCTGAAGACGCTATGCTAAGTGAAGTAAGCCAGACACAAAAAGACAAATACCATATGATTCCATTTATATGAGGAACCTAGAACAGTGAAACTCATAGAGACAGAAAGTAGAATGGTGGTCACCTGGGGGAGGGGGGTATGAAAGTTACTGTTTAATGGGGACAGAGTTTCAGGTTGGGATGATAAAATAGTCCTGGAGATGGCTGGTGGTAATGATTGCACAACACTGTGAATGTCCTTAATACCACCAAACACTTACAAATTTTTTAAATGGCAAATTTTATGTGATGCATATTTTACCATAACAAAAAAGTAGCATATATATTACAAAATCATTACTGATAAATTCCTTAAAAAGACAGAACAATCTTACAGTCAAGTTCAATGCTGCTAAAGAGTTAAAACAGAAAACAGAAGATAAAATATAACTGGGCTGAAACTAATATTTCATTGTATTTTAAAGCCACTAATGATATTTTGGATGAAACATCCTGAACATATGTTCAACATCTCCCAAATTTCAGAATTTATTTCCCAAAGGCTGGGTTATTTCAGTGCATGAAAAGGTTCTGATATATTTCTATGTAATTAAATTAGAGCAAGCACTATTTTTCATCATCTCATCTTCTATTTCTCTCAAAGAATACATTTTTATGAAGATTTACAATATTGCACATTGCTAATTCTTATAATTTATAATTTGCTCTAATAATTCACTCATTTCTCAAAAGTACTCTGTAAATTGCTGAATATTTTACTCTAGACTGGTTCTAAATAACAGAAATTACTGAAAGGCTGATAACTGGAGAGTTAACTTCTTGTTCCAAGGGAAATACGGTAGCTATTCAATTGCAAAAGCCTCTACAACAGTAGTTCTTAATCAGGATATTATTCACCCTCCTCCTTCCAGAGGAGCAAGCTGCCACCTTTCTGAAGACACAGATATGACAATTCCCTCAGAAGGCAAATTACCCAAAACACAAATTAAGCTGAGACCACTCCACTTATTATAGCAGTGCTCACTCAACCTGCCAGTGCATGGCTTAGCGACTCGCACATGAACAGGTACTGATGTTCGTTATCTTAAAGTCCAAAATGCCTAATACTAGTTAGCTATTGCACTGGCAAATAGAAGCTGTGCACAGCGATAAGCTTTTCTCTTGCACAAATATTCAACTTATCAGAAATCTTCCCAAGTGACAGAAACCCAAATGATGTACCCCTATGATTAAACCAAGTCCTTGCAGACTTCAGGGTATCTGGCAGCTCCATCCTGATACTTGGTGAAATGTGCAGACAGTGTTAACTTGAAAAAACTGGCTGCCCATTATTACATGATACTGTTTTATCTCTGTTGTACAAGAGAACTCCTTACAACCATAGTCGTTACATTTCTTTTTCTTTGTGACGATAAACAACGTTCGAATCACCTCGATACATGGCAAGTCTGTTGTGAGAATAAGCTGTGATTGATGCTTCTGTGCTTTTTGCAACAAACTGTTACTTTTTTCATATAGAAATAGTGGGTCATCCTGAATCTTGATGCTTTTTAGTATTAATAGGCTCAAAGAAATAAATGAGGTTCTTCCTAAGCAAAGCACTGACAGAGACGATAAGTTTGAAGTTCATAGTTTATCTTCACTTAGACTGTAGGGAAGATATATTCCAACTTTTAAAGGAACTTAATATAGCCATACAAGAAAGTAGAATTAATTTGTTAACAGTCTGAAAGAAATGATTTACTTTTATATAAGAAATTCTAGTTTGGTTAAAATGTC